AAATGTATTGAGAACAGGAACGACAACACAAAAACCATCGAAGCGAACATTCCAAAGCAGCGGCATTTATTGGCCAGTTCGTGGGCATGTGTGTGTGTGTGCTAAGCAGTGGCCTTAAGCATGTATTGGTAGCCAAACAAGAAACTTCAAGCACACCGATAGAATTCTTATAAGACCCGCGCTGTTAGTATTGTTGCTATTTCTTTGAGTAAAAAGAGATGGCAACATTTAGAAGCAAGTGCAAACTGATGATGACTGTTAAATGTGTAGAAAGGTAAAACAATAAAAAAAGCAAGAGAGCACAGGGCAGTGAGAAATGATAAAAAGAAAATAGCATACAAAATAATTCAGTACGCTGCAGACAAAACGCGCAAAAGCACTTACACTTACTTAGCAAAAACAATGTCAATGAAAGAAATGAGCGTACAATATGTATGTTTGTTTGTACACATACTAGGTATTTTTGCTTATTTATGTATGTACATACGTATGCTTGTATGTAAAAGCAAAAGTGAAAAATGTCAGTTATGTGTAATTACCTGCGTTATTTTTATTTGCTTAAGTGGACTTTGTAATCTATATTTAAAATACACTTGTTTCAATTTGTTGATGGCTACTTTTGTTGTTAAGGAGCTTTGTTCACACACATTCACACACACACACACACACACACGCGCGCGCGCACAGACTGATATTTGGGCCCTCTCTCTTTCTCTTCCTTTATCACATTTAAAAACGCGATACTGATCCTCGCGTTAGGGATTTTGTTAGTTTTTTTTTTGGTCAGCACTTCTAATTTGTTTTATTTTCATTCACTGAGGCTGAGCACTTTTAATTAAATTATGTGCATGAGCTTAGCATTTTTCGGCGTAATTATCTTATTGGATTCCAAGCATACAGTTCACAACTTGTTGTTGCTTACGTATGCGCTTGTATGCGTGCAAGCTGGCAGGTAAAAACAATATCCGTGTGCGCGCGTCGGTATGTGTAAGGCACTTTGATTGTGAAGTTAAAAACGAGTTGAAAACCACTTGTTGCACAAAATTTGATCAACCACAACAGCTGCGCTCTGCTGGCACAAGAACTTTAGCAATATTAATGCGTATTTAAAGCAAAGAAAACACACGTTTTCGTGTGTTAAAACGGCAAAATTTGGTGTGTGCGGAGATTTTGGAGCGATGATGACAACGCGAACGCGACTTCAGGTGTGCCTTCGATTTCGATATCGATACTCAGTAGTTTCTGTGTGAATGGCAAAAAACACAGCTGTGCAAACTATGTTAAAAAACAGTGTGACCAAGGCTGCGCAGCTGTAAATTAACAGTGCCCATTCGAGTTAACATGCTGTTACTTAAATTTATTAACAGAGCGCATTGAAATGGCGCGCATTTGAAATGTTATCAATTATTCAAAGCGATTTAAAACAACAAATGCAACAATGTCAAACATTGTGTACATAAAATGTATGCAAATGCGGCACGCGTGGCCTTTGCTGATGATTGACAAGCTCCAGCCGGACTAATTGACCATATGCAAATGAATGGAGTTGCCCGATATTGGCGGAAAGGTGTTTTGCCCGCGGGCCAGTGACAATTTTTCTGACACCAACATTGTGCTCCATCTCTGGAACGGGTGTTACATGGACATGGCGCCGCAACTGCTCCTCCGGCTCATGTCGGGCATAATTGAACGCATCCGTTGCTGCCGTTTTGCTGCCTTGTCTCGACTTGTTGCCGCTAATTAAAGTTGATCGGTTGGGGTTGAGGCTGGTTAGGGGGAGGGGGGAGGGGAATCACTTAATGTAAACATTTATAACGGCTGCGTTTATTCAATTAAAACGCACTGATTTGGTTCGTCTGCTCTCCAACAAATTGCAGCCTTGTTGTAATTGCGTGAAGGAATTTTCATGTGCTTAACCAAAATGTGCAATTATTTATTCGTGCACGTAATATACTAAATGTACAACAACTGGCTATTAGCTGATGGAATTATTTGTTCCATTTGATGCGTATTCTTCAGCCGGGATTAGCAACTGCGGCTAACTAGGCTTGCAGATAGCAGGCAACTCTTGCCTGCCCACTTACCAAATCTGTAAACACAGTTAGTTTGCTTAAAGTGTCTGTCCCCCATTTCAAGCATGGTCTTCACAACGCATCCATTGACCGAGCTCGTATTTGGATTTCAGCTTAAGTCACAGGCGCTAACGAGGCAAATGAGGGGCAGCAGCAGGCGGAAGTTACCAGACTTGAAGAATGTCCAAAGATCAGCCAGGTATTTTTAGCCAGGTAAGAATCTATAACTAACTATAAATACTGAAACTGTATTCATGGATCATTCCCTCAGCTCTGGGTGAGCTCAGCTTGTGAGGCTTAAGGCCTTGGGAGGGGCATCCTGCTGCGCGGCATTATGTTTTATATGTGTCACGGGGTGCAAAGGAAGGCGAAGGGGTGTTAAAAAGGGCTTGTTTGTTATTTATGTGACACATACAGTCTTGACAACAATTGTTAACTAAACGTGACAACGACGACGTCGCATTTCGAATGCATTCAAATGGAAAGCGCGAACTTGTAAAAGATGCCTGGCAAAGTCGCTTGTTGTTTGTAGACTGGTTTTAAATTGGCAAAGGTAAGAAAAGGCGTTGCTTGAAATTGTTCTAATGGGCACACATAAATTCGTTAACTATCTGGAGTCTAGAGTCGGGAGTTGTTAAATCTAAGGCACGCCCAAAAGTGTTGAGATTTATGTACTCCTAGCAGATCGAGATCTTCCAGCTCGGACATCTTATCTTTAAAGCGCTGCCAAGATTTATGGATTTCGCTTAGCCACTGGGCGCCCATAAATAAAGCGCCTATCTAAAAGCTGACTAAAGCTCATTATTAAGAGTTTAGTTAGTGCCAACGTTAACTTAACTAGCCCTGCCCACTAATTGCAGGCCAACTAGGCTCATACATAAATAACAGCACATGTAGGTGCACAGGTCTGGCCACAGGACAAATTTAGCATGTGACCACCTATTGTGTGGTTTCGTGTCCGTGCCACAAGGTGCAAGACAAAAGGCTGCCCAGCTGCCACAGAGAGAGTCTGATTAAAAAACGTAACCCACGCAGCAAGCTGAGGCCCACGTTTCGGCCTATGACTCGACTCGACTCGACTCGACTCGCTATGGTCTGTTTCTCCCTTTGGCCCTTTGGGCTGTACGTGGAAAATTGAACGCTTTTCGCGCTGGACATGTACGCTATGAAATAGTGTGACCATGCCTGGCGGTGGCACACAAAAGGAAGCATAGGCTGCTCGACTACAAAATACCCGTGCCAAGTTCTTGGACTCAAATGATCGCAGCTATAATTAATCAAAATGTTACAAAATCGAATAAAAAGCAATGGGACAAAATTAAATAAAAAGCAATGGGACATCTTTTTGAGAATAATTTGAACCCCTGCGGATCGTGTGTTGCAACGGGGAATATACCCTGCTGCATTATTCTGGTGCGGACATTATTGAAACTCTGTCTACCCTAAAATGCAATTTTACACACTAATTCGCCATAAAAACAAGATGCAATGGAAACGTGCTGTTAATTCGGTTACCTTTGCAATCTGTAATTTTCATGGTAAAATTAATGTTGCGCCTCAATTGGCAGCCAATTTTACGGCAACCTTCTCGGCCTCCAGCATTTGTCATACTCGTAAAATACAAGTTCCAGCTACAGATCTGCCCCATTTCTATCTTATGGATAGCAATAGTTTTCGACATCAACTTGAAGCTGTAGACAGACACGAATCGCGTCAATTGGCAGATGCCGCTGAAAATCGTCTGAAATGAAATGGGCAACATATTTTTTTTTTGGGGAAAAAGCAATGTAATTGTGTTCAGATAAAAGCGCAATAAAGAAATTGTGTTAATTGCCAGAAAGACTTGCAGCCAAGTAATCGTCGAAGGGGTTCAAATAGAACTCGTTGCCTTTTCTTAAGCTCTCAAAGAATAAACGATGACAACATTTCCCTGACAGTTTATAGCCGCATCAATCTCACAGCTATTGGGCTAAGTGCTGATAAGATGTCGTGTACCCAAATCCCAATCCCAATCTTCTCCAGCTTCAGACTGAGTGGCTGCGAGTTGATTGAGGTATCGGCTCCCAACTCAACTCAACTCGTGTCGAGTGGCAAACGGCCGTAAATTCGATTGATATGCAAATCGCAACCAATTGGCCAACTGATCTTCGGCCATTGCTAATTGTTAACTGGCCATAATTCAGAGCTAACTGAACTTGGCTAATTGGAGTATATTATAATATACCAGCGGATATAACCCGGCCTTGCCCGTGGCACGTATGTCATAAAATCAATGTTCTCAAACTAATTTGAAACGATTTTGAAACTGATCGGACGGCAAACAAACAATTTTCATAAAAACGTTTTCCGCCAGTTTACCACTGTTGCGAGTGGAATTACCCAAATCGCTGAAACACGTATTCATTACATTCTTATGTAGAGCTTTGAAAATAAGTTTAAAGCAAATCGGACACAATTTAAAACTTCGCACAAAAAATCTTTGAGTCGCATTCCACCCGAAAAAGTTTCGATTCTGCGAAAAGTGTGAAACACGTCTCAAATGAATTTTCATATAGATCCATCATTTCCACCTCCATTTCCACCAAGGAGGGATGGATTTTCCAAAAAGTGTGAAACACCCCTTAAATGAATTTGAACAAAGATCTTTGAAAATAAGTTTGAGGCCGATCGGATGGCAAACAAAAAAGTTACATACAAACGTTTTTCGCGTTTTTTCCACACTTGTGGGTGGAATTTGCCGAAACCCCGTCTTAACGTGCATCTACATCTTACGGTTTGGGCTGTGCATTGATCACCAATCAGTCAGTCAGTCAGTCAATCAGTCAGTCAGTCAGTCAGTCAATCACTCAGTCAGTCAATCAGCCAGGACAAACAGTTTTATATATAGAGATTATCATATTCGACTATTATTAAAAAACACAGAGCACCTTTTAAACATACACTAGCAAAATTTTATTAAGTAAAACTAAAGTCAAAGACACACACAAAGACAGTGTACATTGTACATAAGTAGTTTATGTACATTAGTAGGCTATAGCTGATTAAATAGTTGTACATATAGAGACGATAACTAAAAGCAGCTGAAATCGATGAGAGTTGTTCCGATTGGGCCCGTCTACCAAATGATCGACGTCTCCGAGTAGAGAACAAATGCAAATCAATATGTTTATTCAATATGGAGGCAAGGATGTTGACTTACCACCAGCAGGGCGTAGGTGAGGCCAATTGCTGAGCCGGCCAGGACATCGGACCAATGGTGCTTGTAGTCGGAGACGCGCGTTAGTGCCGTGTACCAGGCGAACAGGAGCAGCAGGAACTGCAACAAATGGCGCAACATTTTGAGGCGCGACCAGTGCATGCGACGCTGCAAGTAGATCTAAATGGGAAAAGGAGCTGGGTTAAATGTCTGCACTCCTGTTTAGGATTACGCACCGCAAGATAGACCATGGAGTAGCAGGCAAAGCTGGCATGGCCACTGGGAAAGGAGAGATGCATGTCCTTCAATCGCTTGGCGCTCAGGCTGGATGCCGTGCACTGAAAGTCCTCGATATAGCGACCGGCATTGATCACATCGTTGCAGCTGGTGCCGTCGCGGAGCACCGGCTGGCAGAGCTGCAATTAAAACATTTGATTACCCATTCAAGATTAGGCCAAGTGCTGCCCTTACTGCAAAGAAGTGCGGCCGCAGTCGACCAATGGCATATTTGGCTATGTCCGTGGTGAGCTGCTCCACGCCCAAACCGAACACAAAGGCGCCAATCCTGCGATAGCACTGCAGCAGCCATTGCGGCAGCTCCATGTGGCACAGATAGTAGCCGCTGCTGCTGCTGCCGTACTTTGGCCTGTCCTGCGCCCTGTAGAATTCCACCAGTAGAATCTGTGTGGAAGTCATAGATTAAGCAGCAGACTTAGATAAGTAATGTCTATTGATTTACCAGAGAAACGGGCAGCGCTGCGCACATCAGATAGAGCATCCAGCTGCGTATAGTTGATTCCTTGTAGGGATGCATCAGCGAGAGATCATCGCAGAAGAATCCGCGCCTGATCGGTTCACACCACAACGAGAAGGCGAGCATAGTCAAGCCGACTGTAACAAGAGAAATTCAATCAATATAATACAATCCGAAAGCATCTTTCCTCCAGTTGGAGTAGATGAAGAATCCAATCAGATTCTAACTGACGCACTGGCTCATTTAAACAAGGTCTGCGCTGAGAATGCCCAAATTAGACCGGTTGGAGTAGCTATCATTATTGTCATAACTGAGCTGGGAAGAGTGAAGAATCCAATCAGATTCTAGCTGACGCACTGGCTCATCGAAACAAGGTCTGCTGAGCATGCCCAAATTAGATCTGGGTAAACAAACACAGTGCCAGTTCCAATTCAAAATCAAGCTGATGAATGATGATGATGATATTGTTGTTGCAACTTTTCACTCGGTTTACAATAAATTCACCCCACAAACATTTGCGTAAATTAAGTCAAATATAAATCAGACAACACTCGATGCGCAAATACTTATGTTAGGTATTTTTTGGGCGCTGATTGAGGTCCATTGGGCACATTGGGCATCCTCCGCAGCAAAAATGCTTATTCATTTGAAAAACATGCCAACATGCGCTGTTGGATAACATTTTCTCTACAATTCCGAGTGTTATTATTAATTAAATGAACGGCGCCCAGGGGCCAGATAATAATACACAATATAGTTGCGACTAAAACTCTGATACGGCACACACTCCGATGAGCTTTACACAAAAACAGACAAGTTGGACCATTTAAATAGATTCATTCAGAGAGCAAGAGTTCAATTGGTACAAAACGTGATAACAGAATGTTAAACAGAATGGTAAAGAAGTGTGAAAGTTCATTTTGAAGGAATTCTAAGCTCAAGCTAAGTTTCTCTCATTGTGTGTTAGTTTAGTCGGGGGGAGGGGGCCTGAAACTCACCGCAGCTGAGCAGGCTCAGGTCCATGGCGATGCGTCCAAAGATGTGAGCTGTGCCGCGAGCGCGCGGCATTATGACAATTGTTCCAGTGCCTGCTCCACCCACTCCAGCCCCAACAAACGCTGGCAGCTGTAAATCAACTTTTACATTCTTGTTGATATTGTTGTTGTTGTTGTTGTGGTGGTGTTGGTGTTGTTGGTGTTGGTGTTGGTGTGGGGAGTTTGAGGTGGACGCTGCTGCTGCGGCGGCTGCTATGATACTCGCCGCTGTTGGCGAAGATGGCTCCTCGCCGCTGCTGCTTTGGCTCTCGAAGCGCTGCAGCGGCGTCGTATCGCAGACACTTGCGGGCCGCAGGCTACTCATGGTGGGCGGAAGCGTGGGTGTAGTAGCTCTACTGCTGCACCTTGCTGCCGCTGTGTGTGGGCATATTTTTTTTATCAGTTGAGCAGTCCAAATATTTAAAATGCAATAAATAACGAAGAAATGTGCCTTTTTTGGGCATACGCTAATGGACTCGGGTCTCGGAACTCTATTTACTCCGGCTTAGTGGCTATCGAACGCTGCCTTTGCCTGGCTGATAAGCGTCGGCGGCGTTGGTAGCCAAGTTGGGTAAATGAGAGCCCGGCAATCGATAATGTAAAATAAACAAAATATCTGATTTTTTTTTGTCAGAGGCGGGTAAAATGGAAATTGCGCAAGTGAGAAAATAAAATATCGGTTAAATATTGCTGTCAGCGCACAAAAACCACACAGAAACTTTTTGAATTTTTCTTAAATATTTATACTTGAATTGCCTTCATTTGCGTTTCGACTTTTACGTAGCACTTTGATGAGCTTGCTTAAATATTATTGTTGTTTATTTTGTTTTATGATTCCGTTATTCTTGCAATTGCACTTGCACTTTCTTTACGCGCCCTTCTTTCGCATGCGCAGCGCCGCCCGCGTAGAACGACGAGAATGCAGAAGTTGAGTAAATTGTTGCGAGCGCCCAAGATCAATGCGACCGCAGCGTTCAACAGAACCCGAAGAACTGAGCGCAGCAACCACCGCGGCAACTGTCCAAACACCTCTGAAGCACCATCAACTGCAGCGAGAATGCAAGAGAGCCGAAAGTGGCAGCACTCTCCGCAGCTGGCAGCGTGCTATCTCTTTCGATCGACAGGGGGAACATATTAGAAATTGTTTTATGTTGATCAAAGAGTCTTTAAAGCTATCAGAAATTATTTAGTGTTGATCACACGAACAGAGCTTTAATTCTAGCCAGAAACAATATCGCAAAATGACTCTGACGACTTTAAGATTAAGAAATTTATTGCGGATTGAGCGAAACAAAAACTCTATTGTTTCGGCATTCAGGTCTATCGAGTATTAATTATTCTACGGGTCTAGTGACCTCATTATTATCTAAAATCCCTTTTTGATTCCTATATCACATACATATCTTATCTAAGCTTAGAATATACCGTACCTGAGCAACGCGAGTGCGCACATCCCGTCTTATTCTCATTAAGTCCGAAAAGAGCACAGAACTCATTCTCTCTTTCTCTTTCTGCGTTGTGGCTCTCTGTGTGCGACAAACACAAGGCCTGTCTGTCGTCTTTGCCTCCATATTTAGTACAATTTACCCAGCGGACGTGTTCGGTTCGGCACACTTTGTTGAGAATTCGGTGCGGAAAATGTTTTGTGATTTCGTATTTGTTTATGCGCGAAGGAAAATGAATAAATAAGTGACGTTAGAAGCAAAGCCAAAGAAAATTCGCATCTGGTTTCACCAACGGAAAAACACATTAAAAAGCGCTAATATAAATACGCAATCATTCAGCTCATTTTTGGCCAAAGGTAAAATATTCGATCACAAATATATACTATATTTGTACATTTATACAAATCAGTTTGACTCTCTGCATGTGTGTGCGTGGATTCGGCAGTTAATAAAGATAATACCTTCGATTCAATTTTTGCTATCTATCTCTTTCGCTCGACCGCAATGAAAGATTGGAAGGAAAATGAGATTGCAAAATATCTGTGAGAACTCAAAGCTAATGCCAAAGTAAACAAACATAAAACAATTAGTAAACATAGGTGTCTATATTGTGTAATTGCGCGGATCTTGAAAAACGCAGCACGCAAATGAAAGTGAGGATAGCAGAAAATCGAAATACTCAAAAGCAAATACTTGAAATATTTGCCATATCGTGAAATCGATTTTTGCCACCAAGAATGGCCCCAGGGTCAAGGACAAAGTATATTAATATTGTCTGCAGGTGTTTTTAACGGTAAATTTTCAGTTATTGTACAGCTTTGTTAACTGGTTCTGGCTCTCTGCTTATCAGTGGGCTGGGAATGTGGGGTCTTATAATCAGTTAAACAGTTAAATAATTGCGTTTCATGGTGATTTAACTTTAATTTAATAAAGCATCAAATGCGTCACGTTCCCCTTGTTTTTAATAGCATTCGCAGACTGGCAGCTGACCAAAATCAAGCAATTAAAAGATTATATCTATATATAAAACTGTTTGTCCTGACTGACTGACTGACTGATTGACTGACTGATTGACTGCCTGATTGACTGGTGATCAACGCACAGCCCAAACCGTAAGAGCTAGGAAGCTGAAATTTTCACTGTAGCTACCTTATGTGCACGTTAAGACGGGGTTTCGGGCAATTCCACCCGCGAGTGTGGAAAAAACGTGAAAAACGTTTGTATGTAACTTTTTTGTTTACCATCCGATCGGCCTCAAACTTATTTTCAAAGATCTTTGTTCAAATTCATTTGAGGGGTGTTTCACACTTTTCGAAAAATCCGTTCCTCCTTGGCGGAAATGGTGGTCAAAGATTTGGTGGATGACGTTTTGTGTTCAAATTTATTTCCAAAGATCTATAAGAAAAATCATTTGAGGCGTGTTTCACATTTTTGGCAAAATCTAAACTTCTTCGCATTTCAAAGTTTTTTTTGGTCAATTTTAAGTCTGCTGATTTTACATTGATTTTATAACATACGTGCGACGGGCAAGGCCGGGCTATACCCGCTAGTTGTAAAATATAATTACATTGCATTCCCTCCATTTGCTTGTGTTTAGATTTGAACTTTTCATAAGCCATTCTTCCTGTCAACTCAACCTGGTCGAAGCGTCTTAGATTTCAATGTTGGGCGCGTGTGAACGTCATCAAATTCGACTTGTAGAATGCAGTTAATAAACATTATTTACATGGCAAATAAACAAGCATTTTCCATAAGTACAACGACCACACTTGGGCTATGGACGGCGACAAGGTGTCGTTTTGCCTTCCGCTGACAGCGTCGTCGACGTCGACGTCGTCGTCGTCGTCGTCGTCAATAAGTCTGCGAATAGCTGTTGCCGCTGCCTTTTGGCCAGCCGCAGTGCACGTTGCCAATCAGCCTGCCGTGGCCGTGAAATTGAATGCCCCCCCCCCCCCCTCAATCGTATTGGGAAGTCTGGCATTTGGACTGTCGGGCATATTGCTGACGGGATTCGGATTCGGATTCGGATATAATTTTCAATTTTCGATGCTTTCGCTTGGCGCCACGCGGTCGTAAATTCCTGCTTGTACGCATATGAAATTATTTACATATCATTTACTTTTATTTATGCACAATTATATATTTTTGTTAATTTCCAACAACTTGCAGCCGATGCAGCTTTTTGACCTTATTTCGCAGCGTGACACTTGCCTGCGGGGGGGGGGGGGGGGGAGCGACTGGCAAGGTTAACTCAGCTTGCGGTCAATGCCCGCCCCATAATCGACTAATCGACTTTATAGTATTCTGAGGTTAATAAGATTTGTCCAATCATGATCTCTTCATCAAGTTGTTCAGCACATTTAATACAGCTGTGCTTCTCCCTTTAAAAGAAGCCGCAGTCGTTTAATTCAAAGCAGTCCGGCAAATATACCAAGTACTCTTGTACTTCCAATCCATTCACAGCCAGTCTACTTAGAGATACAATCTTTAAAGTTGCTGTGTTTAATTAAGATTGCAGTTTTGTCAGGAAAGAAAATTAATCATTGGCATTTGAGCAGGCAAATCAACTGGTTGCCTTGCCAAGATGTAGAGACAAGCGTCGTTCGAGCCATAGTAATTGTTCTGGAGCTGGTTTCGCTATCTATAAATAGGTCTTGTCTGCCTGGCTCCGATTCAGCTGGCTCGGTTGAATCCCTGTTGGTCAAATTTGAAGTTGATAACTGCAGATCTACTGCCGATTGATCCCGGCCAAGTGCAGCTTGTTTTTTTGTGCTGCTTTTTGATTGACGGTTGGCACTTCGTCAGTTGGAACTCTGCTGCTGCTCCACAGGTTCTGGTTGCAATTGCAGGCAATGCAGCTGCTTATTACGGGCAAACAAGTTGAGAGAACCGCATTAAATTATAGAGGTTCCGACTGAAGAAACTATTTGCACACGGAATTGGCATAATCCTGTCCAAGAATCTAGCCATTGGCTTCGAATCAATCACGACTCACTGGTGATTACTTTCCATTACAAACAAACTATTCCTGGACTTACAACTATATATTTGGGTAGAACGATAAGTTAACGAGGTTAACGAGGCTTAGTCTTAGTTTGACTTTTTACGATTTAACTTTATTTTCTTTGGGATACCCAAAGATTAAACTTTTAATGTTAATTGTCTCTGAACGATATAACGAATCACAATAATGAATCACAGCATGAATACTCTCGTCATGGCTGTCTTTTATTCTAAAGGGAATCCGCGGCATTACTCATACAAAAAATATACATCAAATGTCGTTTGTGAAACGAAGATTTCTTTTTAAATTATGATTTTTTAACCCTCTTACAGAAATGACGTTTTTATAACATCCATTTTTTTACCTGAGCATCGAAAGGGGAGCAGAACAATCTTGGCTGCTTGCGACGCTGACAAAGCCCAAGTTCATTGTCAAGAGAGAAGAGCGAGAGAGAGAGAGGGAGAGAGAGAGTGAGCTTTGGTAAGCTTTTTCCAACATTTTAAATCACCCAAAAGCATTTAAGCGAATTGGAAATGAGTAACGAATTGTCAGCGAGCGAGACAACACCGCTGCGTCGGCCGGAAAGTCAGTTGAGTGCAGAATCAGGCGCTAACGTGGCTGTTAACAACAACAACAAACACGTCACCATTGTTGGAATTCCACCTGCACAGACAGCGTTGACTATTGCCAGCAACAACGAAAATAACTCCATCAACAACAACAACAACAATCGCAATCGCGACCAACAACAACACAACAAAGATATGGACACAAACAAGCGCATTTTGTGCCGTGTGGGACTTGATGTTTTGATTCTGCTCTGCGGTGAGTGTTGCCAATTGGCATTTGTCACATTCGTTTGTCCAATTATACAAACATATTTTTAAATGAATCAAAATGTATGTATGCGCGTGCATGTGTGTGTCTGTGTGTGTGCGTGCATGCGTATGCATATGTGTGAATTTGCCGCCTGGCTGTTGTCGCAATGTTTGTTTTGTGTATTTCTTTTTATGTAATTTTCGTGTGCGTCTGTTGTGTGTGTGTGTGTGTGTGCGTGCGCTCCACACTGTTGGCTTCGCTCAGCTCATGCTCATACTGAGAGGCGCACGCTGTTGCTCTCTTTAGATGGGCGCTTTCAAACAGCTGAGCGGGCAACATCGCTTACTGCAATTTGCAAAACACAGTTTGATTTTATAATCGCAATTTTAAGTTATTTCCGCGTTAAACTATTTATTGTGACCACATAATAACACATTTTATCAGCGCATGAATAATTTACATAACACTAAAAAGGTACTTAGAATTTATCGGGCACCCCCACATACACAAGCAATTTCTGCTTACTTAGCTGACTTAACCAATACATATATAGCTGGCGATGCATTTTGCTTGCATTATATTTTCCCTTACTGCGCGCCTTTTGTCAATATTTGCATGCACAGGCGTGAAATTGTGTCACCGAAAAAAACGGGGTACACCATTATTGAGTAATAAAGAGAAAGAGCTGAAGACTCACTCAGTGCTTTTTTTTACCGTTTTAAAAAT